GCGGCTGTCATTATAATAAGTAATAAATACTGGACAATCATGTACGATATTATTAGACAAAAAGTAGTTGCTAATAAAATAAAGTCTAATAAATGTGGGTAAAAACTTATGTGTAATACAATTTGTAAATGGAGCACAAAAAGTGGACAAACATATTAAATGCTATATATAGAGTCCTATAGATATAAGGTAATACCGAAGTTCCCCTGATTAGTTTATACATGTCTAGCCGAAGCATAAAATATATTGACTATAACTCAGGGTTTAGTATTAGGTGTGGCACTGGGCATATTATGACCGTATCGCGTGTTCCACTGAAGAGACGTCGACGACGCCCTCGATACTGTTTGGTGGAAACACATACGCCACGAGTCGCTCACGAAGTGTGAACTGTTAAGCCGCCAGTGAATATTTTGCACATTTCGTGCAATTTTATGGTACGACACGAGTCACTTGGTGTAATGAAGCATTCTGTGTGCCAGGAATTGCTTTTTCGTTGTTGCATGTATATGCACGCTCGCTATGTTTATGGCATTGTTTCTACGAAAATGTCGTACCTATAAAGGTTATAATAGTCATGGATATAATAAACCTCAATGAATCTTAAAAAAAATCATCTTAAAAAAAATCAAAGAAATCAAGAAATTATTTCTTTGCCTTTCTTCAACTGCTACTGTGGTTGGATTTATACTTCGTTTACCGCATCATCTCCGCTTCTAACAAACTTTTAAACTCCCGAAATAAATTTACGTAAGTCCAGTCGATCGGGATCTCACCGTTCTTAGTACAAGTTTGTTGTTCCCTCTAAATACTTACCCATCGTATCTTGAATGGTACATGCAAATAGAACATCTGTATAAATTCGCAATAAACAACTATTTATCGATAAAATATTACCAGCGTTTTCATTAAGTAAAGTTTTACGGGAGCGCGATTTATATAAACATGCTACGCATCAATAATAAATTCATAATTCTGTGAACAACTTATTAACAAACTTTATTAATTTTAATGAAAAACAAATACATTTGTGGGATGATTTTATGAAATATTAATGCGAATATAAATGGATATTGACGATTACACAGCCCGAAACCGTCTGTGGTGGAATTAGTTAATTAGTTGCCTGTTTACAAGTCATTAGTGTGGCTCTTAACCGCGAATTATGTACTGGCCTGTCAAAACGAGTGGGAAATAACATTGATAACAGTGCCTCGGTTTCATTCTCCTGAATTTTTAAATGAACCTCGACCTAAACTCAAATGAACTTTTAATTACGTCTCACTTTGTAATAAGAGAAAAAAGTAATTTGCTTTAAATATAAGCAAATTAACTTTTTAATGTTGAGTGTTATTCTACGTTCCACTTAAAATTGCCTTTTTGCGCGATGGGTTTTCCTAAATTAAGAAACACTGGAAAGCTGTACGTAGGCAATATAACTTTTTTTTATTTTTTAAAATAACATTACCCTGTACCCGGCTAAGCGATGTCTTAAAGAGAACTAGAATATTTTTTCTAAAAATGATTAAATTATTTCTAAACTGACTACACTAACGACTAAGGTGAATCGTAATATTTTTAGAATTCGTAATATTTACGTTATTTATATTCTGCATTATATACATATACGAGTATGTATATGCTCCATAATAGAATTCGCAAAATACTTTGAAATAAGCAATATTTGCAAATATCCTGGCTATTATGTTCATTGTATTCTTTCTAGAAGGTTTGCTAATAAAAAAGTTCCTACAATAAACTTCTTCAAATACCGCAAGTCTACTGGATTTCTACAATTCATATTTATACTGGCGAAGCCACTGATTTTTAGAATCCGACATTGTTGTTACTAAAGTAGGTAAACTTTAAAATAATTATGATAAATTTTTTGAAAAATTAAAAAATAGGTATCACAAACGTCACGTTAAAAATTTATAAGATACGAATTTAAAATCTAAAATCTACGTAGGTACCTACCTACAAAAAATATACAGTGTGTTCGCGAATTTTTATTTTATAGGAAAGTTATTCTTGCCAAAAAAAATCTGATTATACCTACAAGTTCGTGAAAATGTAGTTTTAGTCCGATTTCAACGTAATTTGTACCATAGTTTTATTTCTGAAGGATTAAGTCTGCCTTCTCAGAAACAAAACAAATATTTTCTGTTTTACATGCCAACATATTTATGACATTAACGTACGTTTTAATTCTAAACAACTTCTAATAAAATTTTTCCCGATTTTATACAAAAAGGGCACTTAGAATGGAAAAATTAAAAATATCAGTCGATCTTCAAATGGTAATTCTTCATACATAAAAATACATTAAGTACAGTTTATTTTTTCACCAAGCAGATCGATTCCCCAAAATGTCGCAATAACACACTTAATTTTAATTAAGAACACTCTTAAAACTAAATTTTATACATTTGTTTATGTTGTTCGTTTAAATTCCAATTAAGGCTTTAGGAAAAACATAGCTACCAATGAATTTACTGAAATAAAATTTAATAATTAAAAGACATTTTACAGATGTTTTTTATCAGCAGTGCATTTTACTTTTTAACATGTATAAATAAATGTATAGTGACCCTAAGTCATAATAAAATTTCATAGTCAAACTCTTGAATACCCATAGGCTATGTAGTATTTTGTGGGCGATGCGAACATTGATTCTCGAAATTAGACAAAGCTGCTGAGTCGTTAGACGCTCATCGAATGGCTGATAATGTGCAGTGGCTCACACAAATATTGACTTTAATTAGACCTCGAAACCGCCCGGCGAAGAAAAATCAGATTAGAGCTAAGGTCAGCACTGTTAACCGCAACTTGGTAATGTTGATGGGTAATGGTTGGGTTCCAGCCGAGGCAGATACCTTTTTGCTTTACTAGGTTAATCTCGACGGAAGGATGTGGACCACTCTGACAAAAGAGGGTTAAATCAAACAGTCTCACTTAGAGAATTCATTTATAACAGCAGATTAAACCGTAGATATTATTGAAAAAGGAAAAGTTGCGTACCAATACTGAGGACATACTGAACTTTCTCCCAAACGTCATATTATGTGAAATAAATAACCCCTGAAATTCAGACAAATTACACAACATGTAAAAAGTTCCTATACACTTATGTCTAAATTCTTTTTGTTTTCGAGATACAGTGTTAAAGAAATTTTGGAAAATATTGATTACTTCGGATTAAGTGGAGGGAATGTACCGACAATTGGTACACAATATCCGCTACAGGTTGCCAACTAGTTGTGGAGTTGAAAAATTAAGAGGAACTTTTAATAGGAATTATATTACCTATCGCAAAATGTTAAAATATTTACAAGACCATATTAATTTATTAATTTGGTTGGCAACCTATAGAGGAAATTATGTACCAATTGTCAGTAGATTCCCTCCACTTAATTGGGAGTAATAAAAAAAATTCAATATTTTCCAAAATTTCTTTAACAGTGTATCTTGAAAACAAAAGGAATTTAGAAGTGTATATGATCTTTTTATATGTTTGGTGATGAGATCCCTCTATCATGTGCTGGTAAGCATTGCACTTTTTTCCATGTCACCCTGTATAACCTGAGGCTCTATACTCTATACAAATATATGCATATATACCTACATTTCGAGTTAATGTACTTTCATAAGCTTTAAACTGACATCAATTTATAATTTTCGTGAAAAAACATTGTCATTTCGTCCCGATGAAATAAATCTAAAACCGAGGCTAAAATCAATCTCTGAGTTTTCGGCGATGAGAAAGATTAGTTGACATTCGGTAACAAATTTTGAAAATTTCAGAGGACCAAATCCAATGAGAAAGTGATTGAAGGCGAGAGAACCCCTTTTATCTCTAAATGCTTGTACGAGCTTTACAAGTAGGTACACTACATAAGATGCTCCTTGTTTGTACTTTGTTGGGGTATTGAATTCGGTTCGTACAGGTAGTGCGGCACTGATTCTTGGTCGTGGCTGGAATAATTCCAGGAGAGGAATAGTTCCCAATCAACGGTCACTGAATGTTTGTTCGTTGTTTTCAAAGTGTAATTCGCTTCGTATGTTTGTAGAATACATGATAGCTATGACTCCTGCGAGATTTTTTATTTTATTTTCAGCTTAATAATTCAGTGGAGACGATGTATAAAAAACAGCACCAGAACCTGTCTTAACCTGCTTTGTTTTTTGAAAAATATGGCATTTACGCAAATGTCTCTGAAGATGTTGAGCTGAACTCTCGAATTTTTTGTAACAAATACGATTTTAAGACTTTTCAACGAGAAATTTTTGGAAAAAAATACTGTTTTTAACTGTATTTAAATATGTAGTAAGCTTCTTTTTAACAAAAAAAACTGTTTTTAAGTAAGTAGTTTCCAGTATTTCCATTATTGGTTGACATAATTGTATACAAATTTAATGAATTTTTACTCTTACTTAAACAGTAGCCCGAGTTTCATTAGTTTACGTTAAATATCTTCAAAAATAATCGTGAATTTGTTACGTTTTTCGAAAAAGTAGGTATTTTTACTAACCCCCTATACTTTAGTTGTAAAGTTGTTAGTAAATTTATTTTCCGGTCAAAATGAAAATGGAATCGAAATGAATGGCTATCGCTGCAGTTCGTTTAATTATGTTCCTGTCATTTTCTGAAAAAAATACTGGGTGCTTTTCTTGAAATATAAGATTTTCGACCACATCTTTTTAAATTGAGGATTACTTGTTTCCCCTTTGCCCTTTCAAATATCTTAACAACAAAGGAACAAATTGCAATAAAAATGGATTACATTGTACATACAGTAGCAATTTTTCAAACAAACCACCACGATTTAGCTCTACCACCGCGTTTACCGAAAAGAAAACCAAAAATAATCACTGCCATTACTACATTCCGACTTAGCAAATAAGACAAAAGGTTATGAGTGATTACTATAATCCTTTTTCTAAGAAATCTGCCGATTTGTTACATAGCACACCTATAAACGTATCTGTATTATTTCCAGGTCCAGCGTTCTGGGGTTTAATAAATCCAGAATGGTCATTGTGCAACAAGGGCCGAAGACAGTCGCCCGTTAATCTGGAGCCCAGTAAGCTGCTCTTTGACCCGAATCTCCGACCCCTGCACATCGATAAACACAGAGTAAGAAGCTTACCGCTTACGCCTCTCCCTTAAACATGTGCTTATACGCCTCCCAAGTGTCGATTATGTCAAGATTATCGCGAACGGTATACACGCCGCTTTGTGTTCTATATCGAATTACTTTGTACCCCCTCATCCGTTAAATTTGCTAAAACATTCCGAAAAAAAAAAATTGCATCTTGAAGTTGTTGCTTAGTTTGTGCCGAAACATGTTTCTTAGATTAAGAGAAGAGGTGGACCACTAGTATGAAATTCAATTAATTTCAATTTATTAATTACATATACAGATAACAATTTTATAAAAACTAGTACTAAACTCTGAACAAATTAATGGTGAAAGATCATTTACATAAATTAAAAATAGTAAGGGGCCAAGATTGGACCCTGTGGTACATCTGATCTTTCTAAAAGTAAATGCCACTGATAACATACAATAATTTACATACTGCTTTGGCTAAAATGGCTAAAGTTTTAACTACACAAATGAAACTGTGCAATAACATAATAAATAATAACTTTTTGCTTTCAAACATTACCATTTAATAGTTAAACGAAAATATTACTGTTAGCTTCCTATTATACATATTTTAATAATTTCAGGTTTCATAATAAAAAGTGGTCCATCCCTCTCCGACTTATCCGCCGCTTGTGCTACCACAAAATTCATAAAAAGTTTTACAACTCTTCGTCTGCTGACCATTTCCCAATGATAATAAAATTGTTACTTTCCAGGTGAGCGGGTCTATGATGAACACTGGACACAGTGTAATATTTACGGTGGATAACGATACTCGCCATCACATAAATGTGACCGGGGGTCCACTATCCTATAAATATCAATTCCAAGAAATCCATATCCACTACGGACTCCATGATCAGTTCGGATCCGAGCATTCAATAAACGGATATGCTTTTCCTGCCGAGGTAAGAACTTATAGGCTACCAGTTAACCCGAGAAATTATAAAGAAAATGATGGTGCAGGTCAAGTAGAAATTATTTAAATAATTTTTCTTTTACAAATCTACCTTAATTTTTTTTAATAGTAGGGGATGCTCCTTGAACTTTTTAACTACATCACAGGATGAAAGTAAGTTACAAAATATGGGACCGGTATTTTTTCTTTTTTCATTTTGACCATATATTGTCTTAAAAAATTTTTAAACATGCATTGTCACCTCATTAAGCGAAAATTTTTGTAAACTACGTCACTGGTTGCCGTATTTACATATATCCGAATTAAGTGGATTTTTACCTTTATAGACAAGTCACCGGTAAATGTTTAGCTCCCTAAGTGAAACGCTTTCAGAGACAAGTGTGTTTTAGAAGACGCGATTTTTACTTTTTAATTTCAACACATGTTTTGAAACCAAAGAGTATTGGGGCATTTCTTCCTGGGATAAATGTCATAATGGTTTACAAAATAAATAATTTTTCCAACTCATCATAAAATATTTTCCATTTCCTAACTTATACAGTGAAATTAATAAAATTTGACCTTAGCTGCCTGCCTACCACCTTCTATTCAGTTAAATTATCGAATCGGCCACTTCCATTCCACTTTATTTTATAGACAGCGTCTTGAATATTTTATATATTAAAACAATTTTCTCACACCGACGTTGGACGAAAGCTGTAAAATGTTTGAAAAAGGGCATTGACGAGCTATATGACGTTTGATGAAAGTTTCAGCAAGTCCAAAAGGAAGTAAAAATAATTTAGTGCACCTTTTAGAAGGTACCGAAACGTTTTAAAGTTTTCAATAATTCAGTGGTGCTATGCAGTTATATTATGTATAGTTAATAAATAAGTAAAAGTTGAGTAGTTGTAGTGTTTCTATTCTAATATTTCGGACAATAATTCGTCAGACAATCATATTTATTAGACAAATTCAATAGGAATAGAGAAAATTGTTTAAATAAGAATAACGTCTGGAAATAATATTTAGAAAATACTTTTCAGTCAGTCTAATTTCCCCGCGCGTTATTGCTTCCCGTGAAATGATGCGATGGAGGTGGAGCACGACAGATAATTTTATACTAAGTTTAAATTGCACTCGGATCTAATTCAATTCACGGCAATGCAAAACTATTTAGATGTCGAATAACAGTTCACAGTTTGTAAGTAATTGGTTTATTCTGAACAACCGCGTCATACCCCTAACACAGCATGCGTGACATATTGGATTCCGTTTGATGAACTGGAAAACCATAGTTGAACTGGTATCGCAGTTTGTATCTACCCGTATTGCTTCATTTTATTCAACAATTCAGACAATCTATCTAAACGATTATTATTATTATTATTATCCACCAGATCGGGATCAACGCTTTTCACCTTTTAAATATCACCCAGTACATCATTTTTACTAGATACTTTTCTTGAAATGAAATTTAATCACGTCTCTCTCCCAATGTGTTTGAAATCATTCATTAAAGTTTATATGATTATGCTCAAGTTAAGTGAAGTGCATATTTTTTTAAATAAAAGAAAACTATAAAATAATTCTAATGTGGATTTGTCTTGAACCCACTTGTTGTGACTATATATGTGACTGTGTATTAAATTTGTTTTCGCTGAGGTAGAAGAATGCAACAATAAAACGAAGACTTAAAAAATAACTCTAAACACGGTTTTATGACAGGCATACTGCACCTATTTTAAAAATACACAAGGCCGGCATGTTCGCTTTATCATCCAGGGGATAAATTCTTAATAAATTTGTATTCTTTCCAGAATTGGAGCTGTTCATTTTTATCTCTAGATTAAGCTCCTCCGGCTAGGAGTTCGTGTGGTACCATAGGGAGCCATACTCTAGGAATTATTCTCATCTCGTTCTCTTTTAACTTTACTTACAGACAGTATCATTAACTACTTTGTTGTTTTACCTCTTTTGTTCCAATCTCAGGAATGTTTGCTCCCGGCATTAGATCATTTAAAGTCTGAACTTTCGAGCATTGAGATGGATGAACCGAATCCATAGTTGGGTATTTTTTATTTTACATATAACATAGGTTAGGATAAAATACAATCGAAGACAACCGATGAATGAACAAAATGGAACATTATTGATACTTGCACACGGATGGAAATACCAGAAATTTAAAACTAATTCATTATTCTAATAAGATTTCTTGCAAAATAGCAAGATTGCTACTTTAACCGCCATTTAATCTCGAATCTTGTTCCGTGAAAAGTAATAGAAATTTGCCCTATTTTCATTATCCTTAACACCCTTTTATCTTCCAAACTAATATAAGAAATATTATTGCTCATCTCCTTAAAAGTTCGTAATAAGAGAATTAAAAGCTGAGCTCGAGAATTTCTAATTGTAGCAAGTTTGAGATTTCCTAAATTCATAAAGATATCAATGAGCCTAATTACTTTAGCCTCAGATATGATTTATGGTTTTAATATACCGTAATAATCTTTTAATTTTAAAAGTTATAAGTCTGCTCGTTCTCCCCTTTAATCCAATAAGACAGAGGGAATTTTAGGTATCGCAGGCAATTCTATTTGGGTATTTATAACGGTCCAACTGATTCATTTTCTATTCTAATTCGTCAGTCATTAAATTTATGAAGACACAGTACGTATTTTCACTTTTAAATAGAAATATATTTTCTCTCTACTACGATGTATTATGTGGTTATTTATCTATTAAAAATGTATCCGTAAACATTTTTCAAACCGTGAACATCACGCCCCGGTTTATATTAGGTTAAAAAACGCGACACACAAAGAAAAAAATAACCGGTTCTCATTGAAAACATCTGCTATTGTGTGTCATTTCTTTGCACACAAATTGGATCCAACCTTTTGAGCAAATCCAATAAACTTATAAGTCGGAGTGCGTTAGGAAATAAGATGAAAGCTTTTAGCTTTATATCAACATATGTCAACTGGAAAACGATTTTATTAAATATTACACTGGAACTCCTCACATCTGCATTATCTCGCGAACGAAAACATCGAAATCCCATTTTTGCATTAGTATAGATCATGAGAGATGCCTTACCGCAAAGTTTTTGTTTCTCCGGTTCTCGTATAAGAAGGAGCACGATGGAACACTCGAGAATAAAGATTGATGTCCTTTGCGTAACGGTCACATCAAAATTTATTGTATTATAATTTACACTAGTTATAGGAGTTATATCCATATGAAGAACTAAATAAGAGGATGTGTAGTATGTTACATCGTACTGATGAGAACCAATTAGTTCGAAACAAATATATCTAACCATAATTTTTGGCAAGTAACTGTGCAAATAAAGGCAGGTAAATTATTCTTTAAATTTCTTTAAAAAAATCATAATTACAAGTCTCCCTGTAAATTTTTTTGATACTTAAATATTTTCGAATTCATAACGGAATGAACTTATATACTTGTCACACGTTTAAATATCACTGCTTTAACTTTTTTATTTAATCAAGATATAATTAGTGTTTAATAAGTAATGTCATGGAACAGCTGTTAATGGTTCGCCTTAATTTTAATTATTAACTTAAACCCTTAGTAGCTGTAGTCTATTACATACTTATGGAATACTTTTTATTCTTAGTGTATTTTATTGTATTTAAATTTGCCGCCAGTATGGTGCAGCGACATCTATTAGATAATAGAATTAGAGGTTACTCTAATCGTGGTTTCCCATGCAGTTTGCTTAATTATTTTATGGTTTCCGAGTGTGTCGTTTGCTGCACCAGCTACAGATGGCGTGCTCTGCCGCTGTTGCCGACATAACACAGAATAAAACCCCCCTTATTTAGTTACTCATATGGTTATAGCCATGCCATATGAGTAAATAAATAAGAGAATTTGATTGGATAGGGCGTACGGAGTATGCATTCGCTGAGGTCATCTCGTGTTGGTGTGGCAAAACATTTGTCATTTAGAGAAATTGTTAAACAGAAATCTGCAACCACAAAACGAATCTGTATTTCCAATCTTTCAATAAATGGAAATAGAAAACAGAAAGTTTGAGGTTTGAAGTTATAGTTTTTGGTGGGTTGCTATCAGTGGCGGCACATGAACATTGACTGAATGTGTTCTGCTTAGGGTTGTCACATTTGTTGAATTCAATTCCGGGATATTAAGTGCCCGGAGAGCTTCTAAATGACACCGCGAAAATTTTTAAAATTTTCAAGGTCATGCGTTTTCCTGGCACTTCTGAATTTCAGGGAACAATCCATTTATACAAAAATACAGACATTCACAGGAACGATTTTTGAAATTGATACCTTTTTGAAATATTTATTCACGAATTACTTACTGACGGTATAAATAAATTGGAACAAACTAAATATATTTTATTAAACTATTGAATATTGTTTATAAACAAAAAAATTGTTTGTGAAGTTTACAATGATTCAACGAATTTTAATTTTCCTCGCCGTGTTATGATTTTTTCTTTATCTTTTTTTATATAGGTATATATTATATTCCGGGAGTTATACGGCTAATTCCCGGTACAATCACAGAAAATCCTGGTCATACCCATGTGGCTAGATGTTCTTTTAATATGTCGTCAAGATCTGTACTAAAATTTATGAGTCCACGAAACACATCAGGGTTGTCCGAATTTTCTGTCTCGTCGTGTCTGCGAAGTGCTAATTCGAAACCTTCGCAAAATTTTATGCAATCTATGATTTAAGATAATAAATAACGATATTTCGTTACCTGGTTATTGTGTTTCCGTATATTATCCCAATATGCAGAATCTAACTGACTTCTTATGTTTATTTTACCTAATAGAGCCAAGTTAACCTCATTCGACATGCTTATCCCCACCGAAAAGTAAGCACGGAAAACAAAACAGTACATTTTTTATATCACACCCGCACACCCACTCTGTTTTTGTGTATACATTATTGTTAAATTGTCTTTTATAACTTTTACTTCGGCTTGTTCCACTAACTTCAATAT